TGCGCATAAATTAGAATTTGAAATTTTAGTTTAGTTTCAAGAGCCTGAACTTGTTTTCGCTGGCATGTAGTGTTAATAGAAATTTTCTTTCATATCTGAGACCAGTTTCTTATCTGAAAGTGTTATGAGGTGATTTTACATAAAACTTATGGCACTATCTCCGGTTTTGTGTGGACCCCCAGTGCCATCTCCCCGAGTTAAGAAGCATATCTAACGATCTGTTGGCTCAGCACTATTTCGATGACGCAAATGTTGCGTGTCCGGATTGGCCACTTGTGGATTTTTGGGTGGGTCATTTGAATGATAATATCGCGGGACGACAGAATTATGGCCAGGCCGAGGATTCTGGTTATGCCGTGATATAATATTCCATAATAACTAAGCATCGTGTTAAGCTAAAAGTCACCAAACTGTCTCAGACTTCTTGCCACGTTCGTCTATTTTGGGTAACTGTGTGAAGTTCAAGGAACTTGCTGACGCACGCCTCGTATACTTAATCCATAGGTGGTGACAAAAAAGGGGCGAATCTCTGAATATTCAGACCTGCGGGTGGTCTAATAGGGCGTTGATGATTTATTCTTAAGATGGCATTTCACCTGACAAGCGGAGAATTGATTTAGACATACGTCACATGTCAATAGCTTGGCAAAATACATTTTTCAGAAATGCTAATCTGCCTAAAAATGCTTTTACTTTCCACGAAATTCACAACAGCGAATGAAAAGAAGAAATCAGCATAATTCTCGGTTTCAAAAGAAAGACTTTTACTTTCGATTTGTTGAGAACTTTCGTTAGATACCCTGACTAAGATGTTTGCCTCTTCATTAATCAATCGTAAAGTCTTGGGTTTTTTTATTTTAACAAAGCCGTTAATTCCTTGCTTAAAAATATATAAATACCAGTTGTTTTATTTTATCTTTCCGCTTTCGTTTCGCTTCAAAGAACCCCTTTTTAAATAAGCCAGACAATCAGATTCATTCAACTCCATAAAGAAATGTTCCAACTTTTCGATTGCATATTCATGATGCAAACGTGCTTTTTTCGCAGCCCAAGTCTTATGAAACTTTTATAAGCACGACAATCTTGTTTAGGACACACACTGAAAATACCCAAAACAAGAATTCAAATAAATTCCCCATTAATTAACCACGTCAGCTGAATTCACAGCCAACAAACAAACCTATCAAGATTCTACACACAGTCCTTATTCTTGAGCTTTTTAAAATAGAAACATTTAAGATCTGAGTACCATAAAGGAAGGCTCTTAAAATTGATGAATCTCATTTAGCTGGACAAGTTAATCCAGCAGAAGTCGATCTAAATACCACAGAACCATTTGTGTAAAGTGCCATTAAAGTTATTCTATTTTGAAAACAAAATAAAACCGACAGGTCCATAAAGTTTTAATGAGCCCAGACTAAACCCGACCTTCACGGACTCAATCAATATTTATTGATGACCAGAAGCAGCAGCTAACTAAACTTCAAAAAAAGAGTGGTTTTGAGGAAAGTTTGCGTGTGGCAAATAGTAATCAATCTAATGGCTTTGCTTATTTTTTATAAACAGTTTATTTTTGAGACTTTTGCGTAATCGCAGGCCCAAACTCTCAGTTTCGATTCGAAGTTTTCTTATCCCCCCCTCCACAAAATAAAAATACCTCCGACAACTTTTAATTTCAATGTTTATAAGCGTTCATTGACGCTCGATTTGATTGAAAATATTATGCAAAATGAGTCTTTGTGGCCAAAGCGATGGCAATTAATCTCCGGCCAGCGCCTAAGAACAGGTATATTGCCTTTTGTTAATGAAGCCTCGTCGCGGGCTCGAAATTAACTTCAAATTCTGGTTCTTCTCATCATGTTCTACTGTATGTTGTGATGGCAGCATTTTATGCAAATGGAAAATCTTGAAACCTCTTTAACCAAATTAACCAAATATTTATTCTCCTTTTCTTTTTAATCTTCTTCCTTTTTTTCAATAAAATGTATTATATTAATATATTAATTTTAATGTATTTGTGATGAATTCATGTATAAATTAGTTAAAACATATATTTTTGGCCACATAATAAATTATAAATAATTATTATTTGTTGTCCACGCATATTTCCCATGAACACTTTATAATTACCCTGTCTCTTAAATCACTTGCAATCAGCGAACTGCTCCCAAAGGGGATTTCGAAGCTGTCCGTCAATCAAATTCCAAATGCAAAGCAAAAGAACCCTGAACAAGAAATCCGTGCGGCAAAAACTCGACAATTTTCACACACAGTCAGTTTGGTTTAAGCTGTGTTAGATCAAAGTTCTTAATCCATTCCGTGTAATAAGTAAAGTAATCGGCTTATTAGTCGTTCTAACGGCAAGTGAGGTCACCAAAACTGGATGCGGAGGTTCCCGCACTCTCGATATGGTGGCCATAATAAAATCCGTAAATAAATTTGCGTTTAGCACATATTTCGGTGCAGTTTTCTCAACCAAGGCTATTTCGACTGGGTCTTGAGTCATGAGGCGTCATGGGGCATCCGGTTTCAGTCGACTTCGTTTTTCGCTAATCAGATCTATAGCGAATGTGCAAGCTAATTCATCCATCAATCCGAACTATCTTTGAGCAGATTTCACGCTTCAGCAAGTCCTCACAATCGTTTAAAATATCCATTTTTCTTTCTGTCTCTTCCCTGAGTGTCATTGCCAAGTCGGGTCCCAAAATCGTGGGTGGGGTTTTTTCTGATCGATATTTCATACCACCCGCTCACTAATTATGCCCTTATAAGCCAGACAAATTAATATATTTCATTTTGTTATGGTTCCCATTTAAAAGACTTTTAAGTGCCCGAGTGACTCAAATCAGATATTGTTGACAAAATGATCTAATAGTTTTGTAGGTTTTTGAAACAATTTTAAGGCCGTACGTCTTTGCAGATTAACTATTTTATTCCAAAGCGTTTTAAATGCACCATTAATCAAATATGTCGTAAACTCAAGTCATTTGAAAGTCACCTTCGTCGAAGATCGATGATTCAGTTTAAGTCAATATTAATTCTCATATTAATTTTGATGTATCCAATAATCAAAAACTCTTATTAAGACATTCCTCAGATGACACTTTCTGTTCTAAATATGTTTTGTTGGGCTTGGCGCAGATCGGGGATTTTTTAGTTGATTTGAATAATTTTGTATTATAAATTATGAGTCTCAAAATCTTTGATTTTGCTTACATTTCACTTCCTGTTTTTATTGTCACACCCATTTAAATTATCTGAAAGCATTAAAATATGTCTTTTAATTTAAAAACAGCATAATTAAAAATTTTTTTTAAATGCGTTTATAAAAATGGTGTTTAAAACTGCATGTAGTAGTTAAATCTGAGGTTGATGTTATAAACTCATAACAATATCGTATCAATCGCAATAAAATTCCATATATTTACATTATTAAGCTACCCGAATTTCATCAATCATTAACAAATAAGCCGACACAAAAAAAAACTTCAAAATCGTTGGGTTGACACATGGTTCAGCCCACAATCTGTTGGCATATCAATTGTTACGCCAGTAAACTGATGCATATCCGACTCATTGCCTCAGCTGATACAAAAGCTGACAACAAAAAGTTTGTTCGGATTTCCCAAAATGCAAACGCCATGGGAAAACTCAGCCAAATGCACCGAAGTGACTTGGGAGGAGCATCATTGTTTCTCGACTCAGTTTGGACCCCAAACTGCCTTGAACCCGCTCTAAAGACGCATTCAGCTGTTGTATACAATAAAAACTTTATTATTCTTCGTTTTAGCTAAAAGTCGTTTGTACATAAAACATGTTACAAATGTTATTGTATATGGGCGTAAAAGACGTTTGTATTGCTTTGATACAGAGCTAAATTCTCCGTTTAGAGCATGTTACAAATGTAAATTTTGTGCAAAAGATGGACAAATACTAATACAGACCTACTTGTTACCTTTAAAAGAAGGTAACCTTGTGCGGAATATTCGAGTACAAAAGGGAATGTTTATGGCTTAAAGATAATGGATGGATAATTCGCTTAGCTTTCTCTGGGACACTTAATTAATGTACTAGCTTAGCTGAAGTTTATGCAATTCAATGTTTTTTGGGTTTCATCGCAGGTCGGTCGATCAGGTATATAACAATAATTTGTATTTAGGCACTATGAACTATACGAAAATAGTTCTCTCTAATTAAGGCACGAGTGTAATATTTCGTTGCTAGTTTCGACTAGCCTGCGACTTTGCAAAAAAAAAAATAGGTACAATTGCTGCGGGGGATGGTAGTTGTCTCTGGGCGTTAATTGAGCGAAAATTGATATGCAAATGCTGTAGAATACCCTACATGAACATGAGTCATCTGGTTGAGCGTCTACGCTTAGCGTCTGTGCTTAGTAGTGGTTTTCATTCGGAGAAACATTCAGTCTTCGTTTGGAACTGATCTGGTCGATTGGATGGATGAATAATAAGTACCAAAAACTGAAAGCTTTGTGATGAGGTGCGGCTGTCAATTGCATAAACTTGATTAACTAAAAACTACAATTACAGTCGAACTACTCTGAACTCAACTTTCATTACTTTTTAGTTAAAATCTTGAACTATGATGTTTGAACATGACGAATCTTATGAGATATTTAACATTCAGAAATTAAAAGACAGAAAACACACCAGAAAACTTTACAAATCAATTAACCGGATTTTTATATGTGAAGATGGTTTTTAAAATACTTTACCCACCTTTTCTACAATTTCATAGCTTGTTTTGGTTATTAATGTGAGATTCTAATATTTTTGAGTTAAGAAGTTCAAAGTTTTGGTTGAACTGTACAAACACATGACATACACAAACATTTACTACAGGTAACTTTATCGTGCACAAAATTCTACCTAGGAAGTTTCGTCTGAGAAGTTCGACTGTAATGTTTAGGGTGAGAATTCTTTGTGGGACGGAATGTTTTTGTTTTGTTTTCCTCTTAATTCGCTTGTAGTTGCTGTGTTTTCCTTGGTGCAAGTGTGCCAGTGGCTGCGACTGAAAGAGACAATGCAAGAAGGTTAAACGACTAACCTTGACTTGGATATAGTCAAGTACTCACCTGCGACTATCCGCGCACCAGTTCGAACCGCGTCTGCGATTCCTTGAACTGAATCCTCTTTCTTTGCTGCACGTGGGCTTCGCTGAGGAATAATGTGGCCGCCACCAAGGTGAACACTGTGCCCACACAGGCCAGGATGAACGACCATCCAAACCAGTTGTTCGCATGTTCTGGCATCCAGCCATTGCGGTTGCCAAATCCAGCAAAAACGATCACAGCAATGGCTGCACTTACCCCGGCTCCAAGGAGCACATAGCCCACCGATTTTATGAGTGTTATAAAGTGCTTCTGATCCGGCCCTGCACAAAGGAAGAATATGAGCACTCCAATGGCAGACAGCAGCATCCCGATGAAGGCCAAGGTGTAGAAGAACTGAGTGGCTATCATGAAGGCGGGCAGCAGGAATCCCCGGATCTCATCGTAGCCCGTGGTAAATGGGTCATACACCCATCGGCAGCCCACAAAGAACCGCCTCTGGCTGTCATCATTCACATCCGGCAGCGAGCGGAAGCAGTGCACCCACAATCCCAGGCGATCCAACTTGGCTCCCGTGATGCGGTAATCGCTGACCAACCAACTGGGCGTTGCAAATGCAATCGCAATGAAGGCAAAGGCAAACACGAAGACGCCAACGCCACAGCTTCCGGATAATGTGCGCCTTTTCATGTTTACCGTGTGGGTTTGGCTGGTGGGCAGGTGCTCCTGGGAATCCTCGCGTGCAATGTGGGATGATTTTTGCATCCTTGGGTGGGAAATTCTATTGGAATTTCGCTGCTTTCCTCGGGAAATGTTTGTTTGGTTTGCTGGCCGTTCTGTTTGGGTGTGGACTAGAGGTGGGGAAGCCACGATGCACCCATCAATGCTATCGATGTTTTCATCGATGTTTTTTAATATTATTTTATTCCCTAAAAAATGTTAATATTATGGGGGACTCAAATAGAAGGTATGATTTTTGAAAATTGATTAAATCATAATTAACACAAATTCCCCTCGAATATATTTTTTTTGCCCAATTGCTGCTCCAAATTATACCATAGCTATCGATAACCAACAGGGCTGCAGTAATAACATTACAGAGTAATATCATTACAGAATCCATCTGTTATAGAGTGCGAATTATTCCCATACGAGGGCGCCACTTTGGAATCAACGGATTTATATTTTAAATATGTATTTTAAAATAAAAAGCTTTATTAAGATATTGGTTAAAAAACCCGAAATAAAACCCGATTAAAAAACTATCTGCATTTTAAAATATAACATATTCTGGTTATATTGTCGATAAAAACTTATAATTAAAAGGCCTATCCATTGTAAATGCTAATGTGCGTCGTAATAATCTGGAAGACTTTCTCTCCTTGATGAAAATACACCTAATTAAGGGCGGCCACCGCCTTATGGGCGGCATCATCCAAATCACTGGCGGTCTGAATGGGCAGACCCGAATTCTTGAGGATCTCGCGAGCCTGGTTCACATTGGTGCCCTCTAATCGCACGACCAATGGAACATTCAGTTGCAATTTCTTGGAGGCAGCCACAATGCCATTGGCAATGGTGGCGCAGTTGACAATGCCGCCAAAGACGTTAACCAGGATTCCCTTGACTTTCGGATCAGCGGTGAGGATTTCAAAGGCCTTGGCCACCTGAGCCTCATTGACGCCACCACCGACATCCAGGAAGTTGGCGGGCTCAGCTCCATTCAGCTTGATTATGTCCATGGTGGCCATGGCCAAGCCAGCGCCATTTACCAAGCAACCAATGTTTCCATCCATGGCCACATAGTTCAGGTTATATTTGGCTGCCTCCACTTCTCGGGGATCGGACTCCTCCTCGGTGACGTCCATAGCGAATATATCCTTCTGACGAAACTGGGCATTATCATCAAAGTTCAGCTTGGCATCAACGGAGATCACTTCTCCCTTGTCCGTCTCGGCCAGCGGGTTAATCTCAATCTGTACGGCATCCACTGCCTTGAAGAGAGTGTAGAGCTTTTGAATTTCCTCGGCACAACGCTTCACGGCGTCTCCCTTGAACTCCAAGAACTTGGCCACCTCCAGAAGCGTCGACTCCGGAATGGGTTTATCAATGCTCAGCGGGACAGTCTTAATTTTCTCAGGGGTCTCCTCGGCCACTGCCTCGATATCCATGCCTCCGGCAGGCGATGCAATCAACACGGGTCCATTGTGCTCTCGATCCAGCAAGATGCAGAGATAGGTCTCCCGGGTGATGTTTATACTGCGCGCCACCATGACCTTGTTGACCAGGATTCCAGATTTGGGGGTTTGTTTTGTTATCAGCCGGTTTCCAATCATCTGCTTGGTAAGCGAAAGCACCTCGCTCTTGCTGCCGAAAGTATAATCAAATATATTAGCTCGCCTTATCTCTTGTGTATTAAAGGTCTATTCTGGTTTAATAAACAATTAAGAATTCGGCCATAAACAAAAATATTTTAATTTGAGGGAGTGCTCTTACAAAAACTGTAGTTAAAATGGTTTTGTTATACAAAAAAAATTTAGACTGATACAATTTATAGACGTTTTTTGATAAATTTAAAAAATTCGATTTTTAAAAAGATAGATTAAAAATAATTATTAATAAAAAATATTAATAAAATACTGATAACGTAAAACGTTATTGCAAATTTAAATATTTATAAAATTAAAAAAAAAATTAAAAATATTTTTTGTGATTGTGAAAACCAGAACAGACCTTTTATTTATCTTACTTGGAGGTGATATGCACGCCGCCTTTGAAACCATTGTCGAAAGTCCCCTTGCCACGCCCACCGGCAAGAATCTGCGCCTTCACCACATACTCGGGGCATTCTGAGAAAGCATTCAACATCAATTAGCCCAAAGATTACATAAACACCGGCATGGTATCTCAACTTACCAAAAGTCTTGACGACATCTGCATCTGCCTTGGAGTTATCCAAAACCTTGAATTGCTGGATGGCCACTCCGTATTTCTGGAGCAGATCCTTGCTCTGAAACTCCAGGAGATTCAGGTGACGCACGGGTACCTATCCATTGGAAGATAAACAAAGCGAAGACAAAGGTCAACTCAACTTATCTTTTGTGAAGAGTTGGGGGAACAAATGGTGGGAAACCTTATGAACGATGTGACGGGCTGTGGCGGCTGCTTTCAGTAGAAACGACATATTGGCTGCTCTTCGTTGGTCACTGGCTCTTTTTTGGCAAATTTGTATTTATTATTTTTATAACCGGACCACTTTATCGCCGAAAACTGTTTAAAAACACAACCAAAAGTCGCCGCCGCACCAAAAAAATTATTATCACAAAACAATGTGGCCAGCTACGACGAATCTTTGAAACGGTCACATCTCTTCAAACAGCTGTTTATCTAATCTCAGCTGGTATTGTGTACTTTTTTTTGGCTATCTAATGCTCACCGAAGAATGACGATTAACCTACATTGAATGAAAAACCTGAGTGAGATAGAAGTCGGAGTTACAATGAAGGAAAATGCAGACCAAGAATCACTGCCCCAAATCCCGGTGGTCACCTCGGTGACCTGCTGCTTCGTTCTGGCGGTGCTCTACGTGGGAAGCCTCTACATTTGGAGCACAAAACACAACCGGGATCATCCAACGACGATCAAAAAAAGATTTGCCAGTGTCTCCATGGTGATGCTGGTGGCCCCACTCTTTGTTTACTTCTTCTCGTCCCCGGAACTCCTTAGCCGGGAGCCATTTCCCAAGCTGTTGGGATTCCGCTTGGAGGGACTGTGGCAGGCTGTGGTGATACCCTACGCACTGACGGTGCTACTCTTCCTGGGTCCCATCTTCGTCAACTTGCAGAACGAGTCCATACGCTCCTACTTTGGTATGTCATGAATCTGCACTTCATCCACCAAATATAATCCATAAACCTGAATCTAAACCTCACTCCTTTCCTTACATTTTAGATCTGGACTTCTGGCGAGGATCCTTCAACAGCATCATCTGGGTGCGCAACCATGTGATGGCTCCGCTAAGCGAGGAGTTCGTGTTCCGAGCCTGCATGATGCCCCTGATCCTGCAGAGCTTTTCGCCCCTCGTGGCCGTTTTCATAACGCCACTCTTCTTTGGAGTGGCCCACTTGCATCACATTGCTGAGCGACTGAGTTTGGGAGTGGAGCTGAGTACTGCCCTATTGATTGGATTGTTCCAGTTCATCTACACCACATTGTTTGGATTTTATTCGGCTTTTCTGTTTGCCCGAACGGGTCATGTTGTGGCTCCAATACTGGTGCACGCGTTCTGCAACCACATGGGTCTTCCGGATTTGCAGGATCTTTGGCAGCAGGACCTGTGGAGACGGATAGTGGCCATTGTCCTCTACATAGCCGGATTTGCAGGATGGATTTTCCTGCTGCCTCTGGCTACTGTTCCTTCGTTATATGAAAACACGCTCTACTGGAACATATAGTATAATATCTAAGGTAGTAGTTGAATTATTTTATCCTTATCAACCGCTGCCATATGACAAGGTAAAGCTATGTGTATGCACATAGGTATTTTTGTATGTATGAATCATGTTTAGTTGTAAATTTCATATCAAAAAAGATGACTGCATGCACAATAAACCCATTTATGTTTTATACAAAAGAAAATGTAATTAATTTGGAGACCGATTATGTTAATTGTAGCAAGATTGTTAAGAAGACTCATTGAAATAAAAACGACATATGTAAAGTTATGTTAGATTATTTAAAAAATAAAGTTTTATTAGAATTTAATCTAGTGGAGACTATCAGAATCATTAACCATTTTAAAACGCGCCGCCTGTCTGAACATACCATAAAACCGCAATATATCGATAGTATCGCAGGTGCTTAATGCAGCCCTGTTTTAGCCAAGCAAAACGAACGACTTCACGTTTCGACAGGTACCACACGAAAAATGAATGGGAGTAACAAAAGAGCGCACAAAAGCCGGCTGGGGGAATTTAAAACAGATGATAAGATTGTGCTAATCCAATCGGTGCAGACTAAGCCAATACTTTGGGATACAAACCACGAGCGGCACTTCCATGGGCCACTTTTGAAAAAGGCTTGGGAAAGAGTGGCTGCAGAGGTAAATAGAGATGGTAAGCCACATAGACTATTCAGATCTTAAGCATTTTTAATAATAATATGATTTTATTTTGCAGTTAAGAGCTGCAAGGCTGCCTGGAAGTCCCTGAGAGACAGCTATAAGTATTATCGCAACACAAAAAAGTCGAAAAGTGGAAATACCCAAGAAGATGAGGATTACGTAGAGTGGAAATTTGCTGAACACATGGCCTTCTTGCCAGGCTCAACTACATTACAACGGTAGGGAGTTCTCATGAATACTGTCATGTACCCCTTATTAATTTCGTCTACTTGGTTTTTATACAGGACCCGAAGTTCTACGTATGCTGCAGATGAGACGGAGGCCGCGCAAGATCAGGGTCAGGATCAGTATGAGGAACTGGAAATGAAGTTCTCGGATCAACCGGATTTCTTGGACTCAAAATTAATGGGGTCCGATGGTGGAGACAGCATCCGAGGAGAAGAGAACGAGAACGGGACTAACAACGATTTAGTCGACAACGATCTAAGTGACTCTTTGCACACATATGTGAGATATTATCTGCATTCGTTCAACCATATAATTTAGAACACCTTTTCCCACAGGAAGAAAATAGGCCTTCAAAGAGGAAAAGGTTTGATCCGCCATCGTCATCGTCACCATCTCCAACACCTGCGAAAAAAATGTGCGACATTTTAAGTAAATTCCTTCAGAGTGAGAATAAGACTGCTCCGAGGAGACCCATTTTTGACTACTGGGAGTCGCTGCTTGATAAAATGCCTCCAGAGCTGGCGGATGTGGTTGAGCAAAAAATGACTAAAGTCCTCTGGGCCGAACAGGATGCATTTAAATCTCAAGATCAACAAAGATAAGACCTAATTCATCTTTTTTAAATGCCTACTATATAAACTTAAAGTGAAAGACTATTTTTTTGTGTTTTTAAATTCCTAACAATCATTTCTTGCCTTTTTTAATTTTAATGACCTTATTTAAATGGACAAAAAAAAGTTAAACCATTCCGAAATAAAATTAATATTTTATATTTTATTTAATCCTGAGACAACGTGTAATCTTAAAGAATGCATTCGGATCTCTACAGAGAAGCATTTAAATTAGTGTTAATGAATAGGTAACTAAATAAATCTCGTTAACAGTATTCCAATTTTAGGCACAGCTATTGAGATATTCTTTCAAGTTATTTCGTTGTTCCTTGCAATAATCGAGAGGTCGACCTCGGCGACACGGTCGTAATTCGGTCATTACTGTATTCGGCGGGATTTCAGAATCAGGTGCTATCGTGTAGGTTTCGGGACTTTCCCGCATTAGGAAATTGTGGAGGTAGCAACAGGCGGCGATTATCTTTTGTGCCTCATATGGTTGGTTCGGAAAAGTGCGTTGGAAAGCCATCCACCTGGCGCTCAGAATAGCAAACGCGTTCTCTATGCAACGAAGAGTGTCGCTTAGCTTAGAATTGAAAACCTGTTCCTTCTCATCAATGTGTTTGCCATAATAGGGCTTCATCAGGCGCAAGTGAAGGGGAAATGCATCATTGCCGGCTATAAAGTATGGAGTTTCGTAGTCATTTAGCATACTATCCTTAGGGAATGGCAGCTTGTCCGATAATAGATCCTTTCCAAGCTTACTTTGGGTGAAGGCATACTGGTCTCCCCCTTTGCCAAAGGCACCCACATCTATGTAGGTAAACCGATAAAAGGCGTCGCAGATAGCCACAATGACAACCGAATGAAAGCCCTAAGATTCCAGGAATCCATGTATTATTATCAATGAATAATATTGAGTATTATAAGACTCATACCTTGTAGTTTAGAAAAAGATCATCGCTGTTTGATGGTTTCTTAATAGCCACATGTTTTCCTCCTACGACGCCAAGGCAATTTGGAAACTTGTACTTCTTTTCAAATTCATCTGCCCACTTGAGCATATTCTCTGTTGTCCACTTGGGGAATTCCTTCTGCAGCCCCTCACATATTGCATCGCATACTTCTTCAAGAATTGTTCTTAAGTCTTGTGTGTTGATGTGGTTTCTATACCCTGAGTTTCGTTTCAACTCCCCTGTGGCAAGGAATCTGAACAAATAAGTTATAGGAAATGTTTGGATAATCAATAATAATTACTGTAAAATGATCCCCAGTTGGGTTTTTGGTGGTATAGATATAGTTTTGGTGTCAGTATTCCTCTTTGAGACAAGGTGCTTCTCTACGAATCCAAGTAGCGCGTTAAAAGTTATCTCTGACATGTGGAAATTCTCAAAAAACACCGTTGGACTTTGCAACAAGTTTTCAAGCTGTAAAATTAAGATATGATGGTATTAAATACATATACCGGTTTATCTAAACAGTAATATGTACTTACGTTTCCCCTTTTTTTTAAATATGGTCTGAACCGTTGTTTATTGCGGCGTTGTTGCTGTTTTTCCTGCCGTTCAAGCTCCAAAATACAAGTCGCCAATCCAAAAGCAAATACAGTTGTAGCTTTCCTTGAATTTAGCATTTTGATTGCTCAGGACCCGCTTTGTTTATTTTTTTGTTTTTAAATCATCACATGGATGTTTTAGCTGTTGGTCGCAACAACACTGACCGGCGCATCGACCATATACCCAGTTGGAAATTAATGCATTTTGGAACACGTTCTTTCATTATGAGATGATCTCCAAAAACGGGTTCCGAAAGTGATAAACCCATGCCCAGTTCATTTACACGGACGCGGGTCAAAAAAAAGGATTAATTTGCTTGCATTTTGAAATGCATTTAGAAACATTTATATAAAATGGGCCTGTTTGCATCAACGAGAAAGGCAAGAGACGAGAAAAATCGAAATGCGTTCCCGAACTTCCAACAGGGTATGTGCGATACACCCACATAGACACAGCTGCTATCGATAAGTCAGCCGAGACACCCCCAACATTCCCGTGTGACCGTACTGTCGCGCAGATTTGAGCACCAAAATACCAGAGAAAACAAAGCGGCTTATCTTGGCGTTCGCCCCTTGGTCACACTCAAAAAAAGCGCTGTGTAATTCTGCTGTTTCAACAACGAAAAAAAAAGTCACAAAAGTAATCGCCGACTCACAGTGGATACAATATAAAATAGAGAAAAATACATATTGTTGTGGAAATAGTAGGCATCGCAAGGCAGCAACGCAGACATGACGGGCGAGACCAAGCAGGAGAAGAAGCAGCCGCAACCGGCGGCCACGGGCGGCGATGCCAAGGATCCGAAGGCCAAGAAGGACGAGAAGAAGGATGGCAAGGACAAGGAGCAGCAGCCGGAGCTCTCCGACGAGGATCAGCAGCTGCAGGAGGAGCTGGAGCTGCTGGTGCAGCACCTGCAGGAGCCGGACGTAAAGCTCTACCAGCCGACGCTGGAGATGATGGCCAAACTGATACGGGCCTCCACCACGTCGATGACCTCGGTGCCCAAGCCGCTTAAGTTCATGCGCCCGCACTACGATACCATGAAGACCGTGTACAAGCACATGCCCGATGAGCAGGCCCGCCAACTGTGCGCCGACATCATCTCGGTGCTCTCGATGACCATGGGCAGTGGCAAGGATTGTCTAGCCTACCGATTCCTCTGCGATCGCAAACAGCGCATCGGGGACTGGGGACACGAGTATGTGCGTCATCTGTCCGGCGAGATATCCGCCCACTATCACGACACAACGGGCGACTTTCGGGTGCAGCTCATCGAACTGGTCAAGCAGATCATTCCCTACAACATGGAGCATAACGCCGAGGCGGATGCCTGCGATCTGCTGATCGAAATCGATCACCTGCACCTACTGGGCGACTACGTGGACGAGTCGGCCTATCCGCGCGTCTGCCTCTATCTGCAGTCCTGCTATCCCTACGTTCCCGAGCCGGATAACACCATTATTCTGGAAACTGCCCTTCAGTTGTCGCGCAAGTTCAACCAGCACACCCAGGCCATGCGATTGGCTCTGATGCTCAACGACATGGACAAGATCGGGGAGATCTTCAAGGAGCCCAAGGAGCCGGCCATGCAGAAGCAGCTGGCTTTCATGTTGGCCCGCCAACAGATTTGCCTGGAGCTGGACGAGTCGGTGCCGGACTATGATGATCTCATGGAGATCATGTCCAATGCTAATCTGAACAAGCACTTCCTGAATCTGGCACGCGAACTGGACATCATGGAGCCCAAAACGCCGGAGGACATTTACAAGTCGCATCTGGACAACTCGCGCTCTCGCTTTGCGTCTATCCAGGTGGACTCGGCCAAGCAGAATTTGGCCGCTAGCTTTGTGAATGGCTTCGTCAACGCTGGCTTTGGTGTGGATAAACTGCTGTCAGAGGACGGCAACAAGTGGCTGTACAAGAACAAGGAGCACGGCATGCTCTCGGCCACCGCCTCGCTGGGTCTGATACTTCTGTGGGACGTGGATGGCGGTCTGACCATGATCGACAAGTACTTGTACTCCACGGACGACAACATCAAATCCGGCGCTCTGCTGGCCTGTGGAATCGTCAACTGTGGCATCCGTAACGAAGTGGATCCGGCCCATGCACTGCTCTCCGACTACATTGATAACCAGAACACGTGCATGCGCGTTGGCGCCATCCTTGGCCTGGGCATAGCCTATGCTGGCTCCAACCGTTCCATTGTGATCGACACCCTGAAGACAGTCTTCTCGTTCGGCAGCAACAACAAGAGTTCGGCCAGCGTAGAGATTCTGGGCATCACGGCCCTGTCACTGGGTCTGATTAGTGTTGGTTCCTGCAACGCGGAGATCACCGAGATCCTGCTGCAGACCATCATGGGTCTGACCAAGTCGGATCTGAAGGACACCTACACCAGGTTCCTGTTCTTGGGACTGGGTCTGCTGTACTTGGGCCGTCAGAAGTCCACTGAGGCAGTAATGATGACCCTGGAGGTTTTGGAGGAGCCTCACCGCAGCATGGCCACCACCATGGTGGACATTTGTGCATATGCTGGCACTGGCAACGTCCTCAAGATCCAACAGCTGCTCCACATCTGCTCCGATCACTACGAGACCGCGAGTGCCGATGACGAGAAGGAAAAGAGCAAGAAGGACAAGGGCAAGGACAAGGTAAAACTCATTTTCAAGTTGTGATGGGGAAAACCAAGCTAATTTCTTAAAATGTTCTTCATTTTAGGATAAGGAGAAGGAGAAAGAGAAGGAAAAGGAGCGCGAGAAGGACTTGTCGGCCACCCAATCGATCGCCGTGCTGGGCATTGCTCTGATCGCCATGGGCGAGGACATTGGCGCCGAAATGGCATACCGCTCCTTTGGCAACCTACTGCGCTATTGCGAGCCGGCCATCCGACGGGCCGTGCCACTGGCCTTGGGCCTGATATCCGCCTCCAACCCCAAGCTGAACATCATCGACACGCTCAGCAAGTTCTCGCACGACAGCGATGCCGAGGTGGCGCACAATGCGATCTTTGCCATGGGTTTGGTGGGCGCCGGTACGAATAACGCTCGCCTGGCCTCAATGCTCCGCCAGTTGGCGCAGTACCATTCGAAGGATCCCAGCAATCTGTTCATGGTTCGCATCGCCCAGAGCCTGACGCACTTGGGCAAGGGCACTCTGTCGCTGAGTCCCTACCACAGCGATCGCCAGCTGATGAACCCCATGGCCGTCGCTGGTCTGATGGCCACGTTGGTGTCCCTGCTGGACGTAAAGAACCTGATCCTGAACCGATCGCACTATCTGCTCTACACTTTGGTGCCTGCCATGCAGGCCCGCATGCTGATCACCTTCGATGAGGAGCTCAACCAGCTGCAGGTGCCCGTTCGCGTCGGTATCGCCATCGATGTGGTGGGTCAGGCTGGCAAGCCGAAGACCATCACCGGCTTCCAGACCCACACCACGCCCGTCCTGCTGGCCATCGGCGAGCGCGCCGAGCTGGCCACCGATGAGTATCTGGCGCTCACTCCGGTCATGGAGGGCTTCGTCATACTGAAAAAGAACCCCAACTTTGTGAAATAGAAAGTGCATTCAAACATTTAACGTTTAAGGTCATATGCGAGAAATTGAAGTTCAGCAAACTCTAACTCCCAATAATTATTTGTTCCCCTTATTGGCAGTTGATTCAAATGTCATTAATACGAAATATATCTACTTATAAAAAATAAAAACAAAAGTTTACACTTTTATTACGCGTTTTGTTAATTACCCCTTCGATTGTAACCAATTCAAAGCCATGTTTAATGCATTGTAAAAATATATATGCATACTTTATTCAGTGGCTTTTAGCAAAATTAGTTTTGTGTGTTTGAAGTGAATTTTTATTTATGCTTGTATGTTTTAAATGTAGGTTTGTAGGCTCTAGTGATAGTGTGTTTTAGCTGGATTTTGGAATTATTTTTCGCCCGTACGAATTGTACTTTAAAAATAGATTTGCTTATTGCTGTAAATATAGATATATGTATACACTCTGCACTAATTACATATGATAAATTTCTCTCATTGTTTCGCCACAAAAGGTGCATTTACATTTCCGAACAAGATGTGAAGTGTAATCGAGTTAATTCAAATCATTTATGAATTCTCTTTTCCAAAAGCCCTGTATATTGTGTATTATTAAGTAACTGGCAAATTAGAGTTAAATATATTTGATTTCAGGTTACGATTTTGGTGTAGAACTAAAGTGGCTTACAGAGTCGGTATTTAAAAAAAGCAACGAACGAAGTGAACATTTTTGAGGTCAATTCGAAATCCGACAAAAATTTTTTTACAAAATGTCCAACATCATAAATCGACTAAAATATAAAACAACATAATAGAAAATAGCAATAAAGATAAAGGGTTTGTAGAAATTGCCTGGCCTTGGCTAACTAACGAGAGGCGATGAATGAGGTGGAGGAGGAGGTGGCTGTGGAGGTCGAGGTGGAGGAGCAGCAGCAGCAGCAGCGGCGGCGCCTGCGTCAGCGCCTCTCGTACTTGGCCGGCACCGATAGCCTGGTGCGGACACCGGCAGCTCCGCTTCCCGCCGATCCACTCGCCTTATTTTTCTCCGATGAGGAGCGTCGCCGGGCAATGGGTCGCTTGCTGCTGCTGCTGTTGCTGTTACTGGTTGCTGGCAGTGTGTTGTTATTGCTTTTGTTGCGGCTGGCTCCGTTTCCGCTTCCGTGTCCTGTTCCATTTCCGGTTCCTGCCCCGGCACTTCCGTCGCTATAGCGCTGCCGCTTGGTTAGCACTATATTATCTGTACAATGGTCCAAACACACAAACAATTAACGAGAATCTAGACAAGCGGTCAATGCAATTCAAGTTACTACTTAATTAATTGCCCACACAGTTGTCGTCAACTGGGTTCGCAATGCCATTAACGGCCACGGCACTAACTTGGCCACAATCATCATCATCATCATCATTAATACCAACATCGACAGCATTATCGCTGTGGGCCACCACTTCTGGCACATCCGCCGCCTGATCCACATCTGCCAAAGACCGCGCGTTCACATTGAGAGGAGGAATTGAGTTAAAGTCCAAAGAAAAAGGGTTCAAAAGATAAAAGTCCAAAGTATAAATTTTGATTGAATTTTTGTTTTGCTTCTGCTCGGTGACTATCATTGTGAACTCATGACGATGGTTAGATGC